TTCTGCTAACACCCTGAGGAAACCAGGAGGATACTACTCTACTTGAGCCTGCAGATGATGGCACAGCTGGCTGACACTTCAATTTCAGTCTTATGGGACCATGAGCAAAGGAACCAGCTAAAACATGCTAAATTTTTAGCCCACTGGAAGTATAACAAATTTATGTTACTTTAGGCCCTCTTTATAGTGACTTGTTACACAGAAATAGAACATAACTAGAAATAGAAACAGAGAGGTACATTTTAAATAGTACCTCTACCTCACAATAAAAAGTTGCAATTTAGGACTTAAAATTGATGAGGGTTCTTATCCTTCCCACAGTTAATCTCAGACCTCACTTTTGCTTCCTGACTACATTACTAGTTGTTACTACCCTATTTCCAGAGAAGACTAGCATTAAGAGTCAGTGAACGTAACCCGAATATGAGCCAGAACCATCTAATGGCTGGGATCCTGGATAATACAAAAAGGAAGAAGGGGAAACCACTCAATCTCTTTCTCCTACTCTCCTTCTGGAGCAAGCACATTTTTCGCTGCTGCTGCCACCTTAAAAATCAGGCTCCAGGTTCTACAGCCTTTGGACTCTCACCAGTAGCCCAGCAGGTGACTCACAGGCCATCAGCCTCAGACTGGAAAACACACTATGGATGTGTCTTGCTTCTGAGGTTTCTTGGACTGAGCCACTATCACCTTCCCAGTTCTCCAGCTCTCACATGGCCCCTGGGAACTTTTCGGCCTTTGTGATAGTGTCAGTCAATTCAATAAATCCCCTCTTAAACAAATGTATATTCTATTCTGTTTCTCTGAAGAATCCTTACTAATACACTATATTACACTGTCCTCCTATATGCATACTAGTATATACTTGTCCAGTATTAGATTATAAATTACTCTAGAGATAAACTATAGTCTATTAAATTTTATACCCCTACTACTCCCAAAGTGCTTAACAAATTGCCTTGTTAGTGAACTGGTGAAAAAAAAGAAGTAATAATATTGTGACAGTTAACCTTAATTGTGTCGATTTGATTGGCTTAAGAAGTGGAGAGAAGGAGGGGATTTAGCTCAGTGGTTCCGCCGCCTGCCTGGAAAGCACAAGGTCCGAAGTTTGATCCCCCATACCAAAAACAAACAAAGAAGTGGAGACAGAGGGAGACGGAGAGGGAGAGGCAGAGGGAGAGGGGCAGGCAAACCACATTTCTGGATATGTCTAGGTGGGCATGAAGGCATGACTTTGGTACTCTATATGGTCACTGACCCCTTCCTCATTGACACTGTCCCCTGCTTTGCTTCCCAGTAATGATGAACTAAGCAGCTCTACTCTGCCATGCTCTTTCACCATGATGTTTCTGCCTTGGAACCAGCCAACTATGGACTAATCCCCTGAAAGAGAAACAACATGAATGAAGGGAATGGTGGGGGAAGCTGGCCCCTGATAGCATCCAGGAAGCAGAGAGCAGGGGACAAACCAGAGAGGAAAGGGCCAGAGACCGACCAGATATAGTCCCCAAAGTCATGTCCCATTGATGAGGTTAGTATCTCCACAAACCAATCACCTCTCCAGGAGTCTCTTAATCCAGCGAATTGACAATCAAGACTAACTAACATATAGCCAATAGTGCAGTAAGAGCAAGACTACAACTATTTATCAGGGAAATGAGAACCCAAGCAAAGAGTCTTATAGGAAAACTAATTAGAATTCATAGATCTGAAAACATGAATTTTTGAAAACAAAGAAACTCATATGGCCTCAAATAGTTGAGGAAACAAACTAAAGAATATTTAAGTGGACTGAAATGTTAGGCCATGGCAACTTGGGAAAGCAAAAAAAGGATACAAATATGAAACAAAAGTACAGAAAAAGGGTATTAGATACAGAAGTTCTAATCCATCAATCTACTAGTTTTCTGGCAGAGAAAAAGGAGAATCAATATTTGAGAAATGTTAAATGAAAATGTCTCCAGCAGTAAAGATAAGTACTTACACTAGAAGCAAGCAGTGAGAAGCTAGGTCAGGTCAATGACAAAAAACCAACAGAGTCATTCAAACAAAACTTCAGTACATCAAGAATAGTAAATAGCACTGAGAGTCATTAGAAAGCAAAACATTCTTTAAGAAGGATTATCATCCAGAACATCGTGTCTTACTAGCAAGAGGAAAAGATGATAAAGAACTTTAAAAGTTATAGGAAAAAACTCTAAATTTAGACTTCTTTACCCAAATTATTGTTCAAGATTTGCTTATGTCCATGATGGAGTAATACCAACCAGATCTACCCTCCTATCTTAAAAAAATAAATAAATAAAAGCCTGGACAAAATATATGAAAAAAAATATTTTCAAACACTGAACAATAGGCAGCATTGGGCAGTGATGCTTAAGAGAGGGGAAATGAGGAAGGTGTAGACTCCACTGCCCAACTCTGTGCCTGGAAAGTTTCCAAGATGCAGCACAGGGAGACCTCCAAACAGAACTTGGCTGAGTTAAGGAAACAGCATTCAGAAGTTGGAAAGTTAAAAGCCACTAAGATTTACAGATCTGGGTAGGAAAGAAGAGAGGGCTGCAGAGAGAAAGAATGCTGAAGATCTGAAGAGGGCACCCAGGGTTTCCTGCTGAATGACCAAGAACATACTGTCAATATTAATTGAGTCTCAGTCAGAGTTGTGAATATCTCATGTTCCCAACAGCCATAGTGGAAAGACCTCCAAACCAACAAAGCACTGGATGATCAAAGGAGCAATGTGATGGCAGTAGGGCCCAATTAGCATTAGACTAAATACTAATATACTGTGCAGGAGAGGTTCAAAAGCAAGCCTTGAAAGACTTAAATTATTTCCAAATAACTTAACTGTATCCCAAGATAAAGCCCCCAGATATTTAAAAAATAGAAAAAACTGGAAGACAAAATATGCAATACCTGGAATCCTATCACAAATTACTGGGCATATAAAGAAGAAGGAAAAGATGACTCTTATAAGGAGAAAAACCAATCAACAAATATAGACTTGGAAATCATAAAGAAGATAAAATTAGTAAGTAGGGACTTAGCTGTTATAATTATATTCTATACGTTCAAGAAGGTAGAGAAAAGCATAAGCATTATAAAGAAATAATGGAAGCTATGAAAACATTCCAAAGCCACTTTAAAACATAAAACATACATTATCTGGTTTGGGGATACAGCTCAGTGCTAGTCTGCTTGCCTCACATGGGGCCCTGAGTACTCCCCCAAAATCCATTATCTATCTATCTATCTATCTATCTATCTATCTATCTATCTATCTATCTATCTATCTATGCCTGGATGGGATTAACAGCACAATAGACAGGGAAGATTAATGTACTTGAAGAAATAAAAATAATCCAGAAATATGAAGAAAAAAAGGAGAGGGAGAGAGAGATCAGCGGCGAGCAGTTGGGAAAACAACAAGCATCTAATATATGTATACTGAAGTTCTAGAAGAAGAGGAGCAGAGGAAAACAGAAAGAAACTTTTTTAAGAACTAGTGGCTGACATTTTCCAAATTTTATGAAAAAAATTAAACCCACAGATCCAAGAAGCTCTAAGGGTAAGTACAAGCCCAAGTTTAAAGGAAAAAAGCTTTTCAATGTATACAACCATAGCCAGCAAAAAATTTGTTGAAAGCAAAAGCAAAAGCAATTTTCATACACAAGTGCTGAGCAAATGCACCAGGAGACGTCACTATAAATTCTCGTTCAAACGTGAGGACAAAAGGAGAGCCTTTCTCAACAAATCTTGGAAAGAGCCCTGAAAAGAACCACCCACAGGGCATTCTCTAGCATGAAGCTAAAGAAACTAAGGGCAGAACAGTGGGATATAAAGAAAGATCCTGAGGAAAAAAATTATTAAACATTGGTAAGTTTAATAAGACTCTTTAAAAATTGTGAAAAAAAAATCTAACAAAATTCTAGATGCTATTAATAGGGAGATATGGGAATAGAAAAAGGCAGAAGGTACTCTTCTATCTAGACAAAGAATATAAACACAGATTAATTCAAGATGCTAAGAAAACAAATGAAGTATACATATTGAGAATACAATCATTAAAAATTTTAACTATCTTTCTGTAACATTTCAAAGAAAAAAATCTTATATTGAACATGAATAAACTCACAAACACCATTTATAAAATTATGATATGTAATAAATAAGTCTAATAAAAATATATTACCATCTAATTAAATTATTTCTGACATGAATGGAATATTTCATGGGTGATGAGCTGACAGAAATAAACATTAGTTGTTTTGTAAACAAAAGGTCAAAAGATATTTGTATACCTCTACATGTCAAAATTATTGTGTCTGAATTACTGGAATGATTACCTAAAACCTTAATATATTCTAGGATACAGTACTTAATCAGTATAATTACAAGCTTTAATTTAATTTTGTTCCTAATTTGCTTTTGAGGAAATAGTTATGCACATATTTACCTAAATATTTATTTTCCATTTCTCTTCTAAAATTCTTTGTTACTGAAAAGTATTTAAAACTAAAAAGACATTGAAGAAAAAATTCTATCAACTCAAGAACTCAACTTTCTAATATCTAGATTGCTATACCCATTTTTATTCTTTTTAAAGAAAGAAACCACAGCAACAATAGAATTTCACTTAAGTATAAAACATATAGCAGAATACAGGTTAAGATGTATCAGAAGTTTCTAGTCTGCAAGTTACTTTTGAATACCTTTATTCGAAATACTCAAATATATATCTGTGATGGTATCTGGGATTGATTCCAGGGCCTTCTTATTGAGCTACATCCCCAGCCTTGTGCATTTTTAGATTCTGACAGGGCCTCCCTAAGTTGTCCACACAGGACTCGAATCTGTTATTCTCCTGCCTTGGCCTCCCCAGTTCTGATATTTTAGGTGTGTGCCACCTTTCCCCACCATAACTCTTTTTATCTATGCTTACATTATTCCAGAACTTTACTTTGAATACTAACATGTTCAAAATCTTAAAAAAGTCATACCATATGTCCTTCGGCTCGTGCTTTATTCTGCATAGCTTCCCGCTTTCGTTGTAGAAATTCTTCGACTTGTTTAGCTCTTTCTATAGCTAGCAGCCCTTTATGCCTAATTTGGACAAATCATAAAGTCAGCAATTCTGAACATTAAATATTTAAATAGTTAAAAATCATTTATTCTTAATATTTTTTCATTATAAAATATGACATAAACTTCTTTGAGACAGGGTCTCAATATGTAGTTCACACTGGACTTGAAGTTACTATGTAACCCAGGCTGGCCTCAAATTCCTGCCTCAACCTCCTGAGCGCTGGGACTACAGGTGTGCACCACCATGCCCAACTATTCATTGCAAAATATGAAGGCTGATACAAAATAAAAACTTTCTCTTGTAATGAAGAAATCACTATATACATACTGGTATTTACTACCTCAATCATGTTTTACTATTTTAAATAGAAGTAAAATCATAATACTACTCCAAATCTTGACAAGATTTCTTTCACATTTATTTGATCTAGTCAATTTGGAAACATATAGAATTATTTTAGACTACACTTAACAGAATCTCAATAGTTTCCAAGTTTATTTCAGGATTCTATCAAACATAGTAAGAATTTTCTTTAATCAATACTGAAGTGAAATGAAAGCAGTCCAATAGAAAAACATCAACTATGGTTAACTGTGCAGATGAAGGAAAAACTGTAAGTTGTTGGCTGTGCTTCTTAGATTTTGACTAGTACAACACAAACTTCTACAGCCTTTCTTTGGGACCATAACTAATTTTTTTTTTTTTTTTGGTACCAAGAATCAAACTCGGGTCCTTGTGCTTGCTCAGCAAGTGGCAAAACCACTGAGCTAAATCCCCGGCAGACCATAACTAAGTTATGTTTCAAAAAATACATAAAATAATGCCTTTTTAAAACTGCCTCCTGGTAAGATTTAAACATTTCTCATTTTTAGGCTTCAAATAATAATTTTGGAGGGTTATTGGAGATGGATCCCACAGCCTTCACATTGAGCTACATTCCCAGCCCTTTTAAAACTTTTTATTTTGAGACAAGATCTCGGTAAGTTGCTAAATTGTCCAAGGTGTGCTTGAACTTGCCATTCTCCTGCATCAGCCTCCCAGGAGTGCTGGGATGAGAGGGCACCGTCATGCCTGGCTTAATTTCTTTAATATTTTTGTAACAACTACTATGGTAAATAAAACATAAAAATATTTTAAATATAAAATCAAGGTGCAAAAATTTAAAATCTACTCCATGACATGGCTATGTATGATACTGGTCTAAGGGTCATTTATCTTATATGGTACTACTCAACAGAGGTTTGTGTGAAATTTCCATCAGGAATTTTCTAAGACTAGATGATCACTACAGCTAGTTTAAGGGCCCGTTACCAAATGACTCTCAGGTATGTCTGAGTAGTTGATCTTAATCTAGTTCTCAACACTAAATTTAAAAATGCACTTCCCTAAAGCCATGTTACCTTGAGTGGTTAAGAATGATTAGAAATTTGTCCATCCCTGTAAAGTGTACATATGTTGCCCTCTAGCAGTTATATGCACTGTATGGCTCTGAGATTAATAAGGTACATCTGGTCTGAATGCAACATATCTCTCTGTATACCCAGGTAAGGCTGTATCCTGCTCTGCCACAGCCCCATTTATATGAGCCTGGGCCTGGAGTGGGCAGATAAACTATCAGGTGTCAGGCTGACACATCATCTGAAGCTGTATGACTGAATACTGAGGTCCTGAAAGCTTACATCACGATCTACAAATAGATAAAACAGGTTATTTCTCTGCTGTGTATCTTGATTGCACTGACTTTTGTCTTTAACTTTTACAGAAATAAAAAATGTTTGAATTCTTGTCCTAAGATATTATCTGTGTACAATATTTGTTAGTCTTAATCTCCAACTGGCATATGTTAATACAGCAGTTGCTCAGAATTACTTTACTAAGAATCTGGTCATATCTATCAGAGCTTTGATTTGCAAATTTTTACATGTATGTATATATACAGTAGTACTACTTGCTTTCAGTAGTTATGTAAGTATTGTCTCGTGATAGTCATTTTCTAAACTAGTTTACTTAAGCAGGTTGCTTTAAAACATGTAATAATTCTGGTTTTTGTTTTATTTTGGTTTTTTTGATACAGGATCTCACTACATAGCTCAGACTGGGCTCAAACTTCTGGCAATCCTCCTGCCTCAGTCTCCTCTAAGTGCTGGGATTATAGGCTTGTGCCACCATGCCCAGCCATAACAATTAACACTATTTCTTTTTTCCTCTATTTATTAAATAAAGATTTAATTAAGTGACAATTATTTGCCATATTATATCAGTCTTTGAAGATGAAAAGGTTAATAAAACAGAGCTCCAGGAAGCAAGATTGGTTCAAAACATATGAAAATCAACTTCACAAGTTCTGTGACTCCTTATGTTTCAAAACATATAAACTGTCTTTTTCACATGCATTACTATTTATTACTTCATATATACCAAGCTAGTATTCTTATTTATCTTAGCTCTTATCTTTACTCTTATTATTCTCTAAAGTAGTAAACTTTGGCACAAACTATGTATTTGTGTTATGCTTGTGGGGGAAAAGAGGAAAACAGTCAATTTACTTTTTTTCTTTTTTCTTTTTTTGGTACCAGGGATTGAACTCGGGACCTTGTGCTTGCAAGGCAGGTGGCTGCACCACTGAGCTAAATCCCTGGCCCCTCAATTTACTTCTTAATTGTCATTCTCTTCATGAACCTGTAAGAATTCATATGCAAATGCTCTTATAAAAATTACAAAGTATACCACTTAGTATCAATAAAACATTGGGCTGGATTAATAATAAAAGAATGATATATAAACATTATATTTAACACAAAAAATAGTAAGAAATTAGAAATGTGGACAGTAAAATACAAAGACACTAAAATGGGTTAAAAATGTCATATAACAGGAAAAAGAATATCAAACAATGAGATAATTATGGTATTTTTTGAATGAGAATTATTTTAAGACAAACTTTCCTAATTTTTAACCAGATAAGAACAGGGGAAAAGTTCCTGTTTTTCCTTTTCTTTTGTAAATGCATGAGGAAGCAATAAGATCTGAGGAGGAACTTCATATTCACATTCCAGGATTAAATTCTTTACTGATAAAGGAAATTTTAAAATTCTGAAGGATGATTATAAATGGAATATTTCAAGTGCGGAAAATAATTACCAATAGCTGCTAGGAGCTAAAGAAAAAATTTTTAAAGTATAAATTTAAAAGCAAAATGGTACAGGAAATGAAGATTCCACCATATTCTTCTATACTTGTTACACAAAAGGTTAATGACATACAAGATGCCTATAAGAATAGTGAATGGTGATGATGAGAATGATGACAGTAGTAAACAGTAGCACCTAATATTTAATCAGTCACTCATGGAAGGACCAGTTCTAAGTAACTTACTTATACAATCAGTCCTCATTATTCATTCATTCTGTGTTTATCTACTTGCCAGACTTTCTTTGTACCCCCCCAAATCAATGCTCACGGCACTTTCATGATCTTTTGTGGCATTTGCTAATTTGTGGAATGATTTTTCTTAGTCTTTTGGACTATATACTCCATGATGATAAGAAAAATAAATTTTACTCTTCAATATTAAAAGGTAAAATTAACACATTAAAAAAAAGCAGCCATCTAAATGAGACAGAATGGTTTGTTAGCAAAAGTAGTTTTATAGAAACCTGATCATATTAGTATGTTCAAAAGCAAAAAACAGAATAAAACAACAACAACCCTGATTACTTTAAGAAGTTTAAGCCTTTAAAAACAAAGCAAAATAATACTAGAGCTCCTAGTTTCCGGTAAATATATAAATTTAGAAGTAGCTACTCTATCCTAACAACAAGTAAAAAGGTGAACAAACTGAAAAATCAGTAACTCTCATTATATCCATCAAAGATGAAGAGGGCAAACTACTGCCCCCAAAGCTATAGAGACAGACAGGCAGATAGAGAGAATCACAACTTACCAGAGCAGAAGTTTCCATGGGAATCACTATCAGGATAGAAAAACAGACTATAATTGACAAATTGCTGAGGATAGATGCTGACAAGGCTGAAAGCCAAAAATTCCTGAGCACTCAATCTTAGGTGGACTCCCGTACTTGACTTCTATCTCTAGAACTCTACCAGCTTCTCAAAGTAAAAAAAATATTTTCTGATTTCCAAGAGGAAGGAAAAAGCAATCATTTAAAAATAGGCCACAGGATTCTGTTCTTAATATTTCTTGCCTACAAGAGAAATTATTTTGCTACAGCCCTATCTTCTGCTGAGGATTTATCATTTTTACCTATCTAGGGAAAAGAAAATGATCAACTCTAGTCAACTCTATCCTTCTACAGGGGAAGTAAAAATACTCAAGTCCTCTCCAGCTGTCCTGGCCTACTTAAGGGGGAAACAAAACTGAAAAATCACTAGTAAAGTTCACAGCCCAGAAGCAAAAGCTAATCAAAACAATGAAACCTATCACAGAATACTTCTCTTCCCTCCACAGTTTAGGACTACATTACTAAAGGCCTATTTATGATTTTTTTATCTAGTACCTTTTAACTACCACTCAACAAAAGATTACAAGGCAAACTAAAAGGCACAGTTTGAAGAGACTCAACAAACATCAGAATCGGAGTCCAATGTAATAGGAATGAATTATCAGATTAGAGATTTTTTAAAAAATTTATTATCATGCCAAAGTTTTTAATGAAAAAAGTAGATAATATAAGTAGAGAGATGAAAATTCTAAGAAAAAATAAAAATGAAATACCACAGATAAAAAAACACTGCAACAGAAATGAAGAATGCCTTTCAAGGGCTCAGTAGTAGAATACACAGAGCCAAGGGAAAAAAACCTCTGACCTTGAAGATACGGCAAGAGAAACTTCCAAAAGTGAAAGTAAAAGAAAAAAGGCTAAAATAAAAAAGAACAGAATATCCAAGAACTGTGGGGCAACTATAAAATGTGTAATATAGATGTAATGAAAATATCAGAAAGAAAAGAAAGGAATAGAAGCATCACTTAGAGTAATAATAACTAAGAATTTCCTCCA